TGTTGGTGCTCCAGACACGGCGTGCTTATCCAGAGCTAGCTTATGCAAACGGAATTTAAAAGCTTTCGACAACCAGGTGGAAGAGAGCTCTCACACTGAGAGGCTCAATAAACCCACAGCTTAGTGAGGTTTCAGACACACCTTGATATGATCATTAAGTATTAAGAGACTAAATATAACAAACAGGTATAGAAATACTATATGACAGTAACAAAAAGTTGTTAAAAATAACAAGATAAGTTAAAAGGGGAGCGATTTGTAAAATCATCCAAAAAGAAAAATCTGCTTACAGTTCCTGTTTCATATGGGTGTGAAAGATGAAGTCCATAGATCTTTTAATTTTGCTCTCAAAGTGCACCAGATTGAATGCTTTCAACTTCCCAATAAAATTTTAAAAAAAAAAAAAAAATTCCCTTTCCCCCCGGGGAGCATGCCCCCAGACCCTCCCTAGAGGGGTGAGGTCCCCCTCCCCCCCCCACTTAAAGCATGTTCACAATGGATAGGGTAACTAAATACATTCTGCGACCACATATGTGTCCATACTTTCTGTTTTGTGGTCCATGCCACAACCGGCACGTGCATGCATACGTGTGGCATGGTGAGATCTCTGATTAAGAGGTTGCTTTTTTCTTTGCACAACATGAATGAAAGGCCAAATGAATGGGCTGTGATTTTAGTTTTTTTAAGCAGAGGTTGAGTTCAATAATTTGTACGGCCCTCGGAGGAGGTTGTAAAAATTGAAAGGAAAAAGGTTCCCCACCCCTCCTGTAAATAATAATAAAAACCCTTGATTTATAACTTAACATTTCCGTCTCCTATTGATCTGAGTATATTATAAAGAATAGCCAGTTAATTGAAGCATTATAGCACAGGCCTTTGTCAGATGGTATATTACGCTGTTTTTTTCTTGCTTAGNGAATAGTTCTCTCTTTTTTCACCATACCTGTGTTTGCACCACTGTAAACAATGAGCAACTGCATGTGTATGAGAATGGCCCTGACACCATTTCAGCCCAGATTTACAAACTCCCAGCAGGACAAGCTCAAGCTCAATTCTCGCACTGAATTTAAAAAAAGAGAGTGAGGGACTGCAATATAAGAGGGACAGAAAGAGAAACTTTAAAACTGTTCAATTGTTATGATGTGTAAAGACTGATATCGTTCTATAATCGTCTGAAACTTTTTAAGTCATGATGTGAAACGGTTAACAAAGAAAAAGGGAAACTCAAGCTGCTGCTACACTTTATTTTATTTATCTAAAATTAAGCACTTTTAAGATGCACATATTTTCAAAAGCTATTTTATTTATTTTCTCTATTTTATTTTTAAATGCAGCCCGAGAGGAACATTACACATATCCACAGTATTTACTCTGTGTAGTTCAATGTTAATTGACAATAAATATTGTTGTTTTTTAATTTACTTTCTTTATTTGATTGGCAGTCAGTTGTTGATGACATGCAGACGTTGATAAAGCTACAGGCTACTTCAATCTATATCACACTAATTCATAAAGCAAGTTAGACATTTTGATGTTCCGGACCTTTGCATGGGGAGATTTTCTCTAACTGGACCTCGTTGCATTTTAGTTGAATACCCCTGATGTAGAGTGTGGAGCCTCAGCAAGTCTATTTGACATTCATATGTTCAATAGTTGTTTAACAGTAACACATTTGAAAGTGCAAAAAAAGGAGATCATACAACATAGAAAGAAAAAATGTCCTTAATAACAGCATTTATTTACAGGATCTACACAGGAGCATTGACTGCATTAAATAGCAGAAAGCCCTACCCTAGCCCGGATAGGCCTGAACAAAATGTGACCGGACTGTGATTGAGATGTTGGGGTATGTGCAAACACTCCTAAAGATTTACAGATTGAAGTTTATATGCTCCACTGCACTGAACGCCTGCAGCATACAGATGTTGCTAACCAGCCTCCGGGAGAGGATTCAGTCTATGGGGGAGTCGATCACCGAACATTATGGAAAATCTTAACAATTAATGAAGACAAGCTGTGTTTTTCCCTTCTTCTGATTTAATTAAAAACGGCAGCAATGTATTATGTGTCTTCAAGCAACTGTCAGTTCAGTGACAACTTTGTTTTCCACCTTCTGATAATAAACTAGGCTTTGCATTGTCATAGTCAATCAGTAAAATACAAATGTACATACACTATATGTAGCTACTTGCAAAAAGTACAACAGTCTATAAATAATATAATGTTTCAACTTGTTTTAAATACAACTTGTGCTTTCATACAAATGCTATTAAAATAGAATTTTTTATTTTATTGTGAAGCCCAAATCAACCAAAAGATAATCCTGACAGATAATTGAACCCAATGTTAACTCACAGTACTAATTATTTTTCATTTGTATCAAGTTTGTTTATTTAGGTCACCAATTCAAATACAGAAATGTTCATGTTTTTCTCAATTACTTCAAACCGTATTTCTAAATGAGGATTACAAATGTTCTAGTCATTGGAACAATAAATTAAGCGGCCCCATCAATCATCATTAGTACACAAACAGCTGCAGAAGGCCATTTAAGGTTGTTTGCCTATTTATAGTGAATGGATAATGTATTCAGTGTGCATTAAAAAAAAACACATTTCAGCGGTTGGCTGTGCCAGGGCATAGGAAGTGGACACATCAATGTTTATGATAATGAAAAAATATAGCTCTGCCTTTTCAAAAGTCACAGGAGCACTGGGGTGATGCCGTACAGTTTGGATTTGTGTTAATTTAAAAATGAGTTAAATATGTTCTCCTTATAGCATTCAGAAGCACCTTGAGATGACGTTGTTTTTAAAGTGTGCTATATACATGAAATGTATTATTATTATATGTGCCTGATTTCATTGGGCAAAACCTCAATCTGGACTTTGAGACCATCATTCACATGATCAGTACTTTTCCTTTACTCACTTCACTCAATCAGTTCCAGAGTACAACTACTGATATCCTACCACAAGGTGAGGATTTATTGAAGACTGGCCTTTAAGTTCAAACTTTTATGAAGCGCGGTCCCAAGAGGTTTGGGAAAGGGAAATGAATTGTTTGTGTTTATGAGTGAACTGGGCACCAGGCTGGCACTGTAAAACATGAGCCTATGTTTACCGAGGTCTTTTTTAACATCATTAAAAGTGCAGTTGGGGGCACACATGGAAGATCAACAGCAGTCACATGGAGCACACTGTGGCTGAGACTTGGAAGTCCTCAGACCAGCAGACTAAGCCTCCGACAGCACCGACACTTAAAAGCATGGCAAAAATACTGGGAAAAGGTTACAGTGTACCAAAAAGTTATTAGAGCGCAATTGAAAAAGAAACTCAAGCAGAGAATAAAATAGTTTTTTTTTACTGAAAGACCGAATCAAGACAACTTGCTTTTTTTCATTCAGGGTAAAAATAATGCATTTATCTTAAAGGTCCCATGTCATGCTTTTCCGGTTATTACCCGTCCCCCTGTGTGTTATGAAGGTTTTTATGCATGTAAACGGTCTGCAGGCGAAACTGTGGCGCGCTTAAACTGTAGGTGTACATTGGGGGTGTGGGGGGGGTGCCGGTGCTAGTGGAGCCTCGCGATGTCTCGCTGTCTCGCAGCAAGCAGGAAATGACGCGCAACGTCCCGCCAACACGGCACCCAGACCCCATGCAGCATTCTCATCTGTTTGTCATTACTGGTGTCATTTTCTGGTTGCTAATGCCATTGTAACACATAATCACTGATGTTCCGCTGAGACAGAGTGGGCGAGCTGACCAATCAGAGCACAGTGGGCTCATAGGGAGGGAGGGGGGGCAGGAGCTCCAACAAGCCGTTTAGGACAGAGAGTGAATACACATACTATACAGAGATGCTGTATGAGAAACCAATGTGAGTTTGGAAAATTGCACAATATAAATCAATTTTAACAACAATGGAATCATGATCAGTAGAACTGGCCATGACATGGGACCTTTAAAGCAGAAAACCAGACCGGAGGAAGCCTAGGGGAAGATTTGAATGCAGGAGCTTTAGGAAAGGATACAGTGTACTACTTCTACTACTACTACCACTACCACTATTCCTGCTACTATCGCTACTATTAATTGACTAAACACTGTGGGGGAAACTTCTGAAGCAATTGGAAACAGGACTTGAGACACGAGGAGAGCTGGAGCTTTGATGGCAAACACTGACGGTTTATTTGGAGCTTCGGCCGGAGAATTCAAAAGACATGTCATGAGCCACGAGTTGACACAGGTTGAGATGCTAAACCAATTCTGAAGATCTCTACCCCAGACCCATGTATTTAGCTAGTTCTGAGAGAATAATCAACATTGTGCATCACAAGATAGAACA